TTGTCATTTGGGGAGCTATTACAAGATCCTCTTTTCCATTTCATGGATCTACTAAGTTTTTAATTTTTTCCAATTTTCCCAGCAATGTATAATTAAAGCCCAAATCTGCATTAACTGGTAAACTTCCACAGAAGAGAGAAGTTTCACTGGAGTGTTTTTACAATGTGCAACCACTCTGTGCAAAACCCTATGATCCTTCCCTAGATCTCCACCTCCCTCCCATACTCTCTGCACCTCAGGGATCACTGGGTTGGAAAGCATCTGGAAAGATTATCCACGTCATGGGCTCAGGCGAGGCTTTTGTTAAGATGACCAGGTGAGCAGTTAGATAGAAAGGCAGGACGGGTCAGGGAAATGTGCACCAAGCTTGGAATCGAACACACTGTCACTGGCTATGTGACCTTGTATAGTCACTTGAGTCTCAGTCCTTCATCTGTAAAAACTAAAATAGGGATAATAGTTATAATCTCTGCCATTGTGGACTGTTGGAAGGCTCAAAAGAGATTATGCACACACACTAACTCACAAGATGTACTGTGTATTATACAGACATGTGTTTGTATATATATACAGATGTATATTGCAATTATAATGTGTATAATCCTTCAGTCTCCCTCAGCAGCCTAATCCAAAAACAACTACACCTTGTAGTCAGAAGTTTTCTTTATGTTTCATTGAAATCCTTTACTTTAAAATTTGAATTAACTCAGTGGAGTAGAAAGGAAAAGGTAGTTTCAAACAGTTAATTCATGAGCCAATGTGTGAAGAAAGAGCACTCGTTTTCAGCAAGTCTTCTCCCTACCCTTTTCTTACCATCCTCACCTGTCCTTCTCATCACCTAATGAGACCATTCTAGATCTCTTGTCAGGGTGAAGGGATCAAGCCCTGAACCCTCAAAAATGAGTTAATATTATTCAAGTTACCTCACTGAAGAGCGCTTACTATTGTAGAACGTTTTTGCAGCCTCCATAATTCAAAGAGATAAATCTCTAATGATAGAGTTTAGACCAATAAAATGAATTGTTTTCAGCAAGCCCACCTTCCTATTCTCTCTCCCCCTTTCAAGTTTAAATTTTTCCTATTTAAATATCCTCGAAAACTTCCAGTTATAAGCATGATTAACATTTCCAGTGTCCAGTCCATTTTTATAGCACAAGAAAGTTATTTGATGACTTCATTCTTTCAAGGAAAAATCAGAAGGCTCTCGATTCCCTCCGTTGTTCCTTGTGCAATGGAGGTTGTAAAAATCACAAGAAGAGTACATTTGTTGTCATTTAAAGTTATGCATACAGTGCACCCAAATTTTTGAAATAGCACCCCTAGTAGCTATGTACTACTGTCATTAGCTATTATCTCAAAGCAATCACTTATTGGAGGTCCAACTGATCAACCTTATTTAAATAGACTCAAATTGCAAGTAGACGTGATAATTTTATTTCTTTCTGATTTCTTGTTAGTTGTTTTCAAAAATCTTGTAAAATGTCTAAATCAGGGTTTATCAACAGCAGGATTATCGACACTTTTGGCCAGATAATTCTTTGCTATGGGTTCTGTCCTGAGCATTCTAGGATGTTTAGCAGCGTCCCTTGCCTCTACCCACTAAATGCTTGCGGTACTTCCTCAGTCAGGACAATAAAAACTGTCTCCAGACATTGCTAAACTTTTCCTAGGAGGCAAAGTCACCCCGTGTTGAAAACCACTGGTCTAAAGAAATACATTAGTAGTAGAACTTGCATCCAATATGTCACTTTCAATGTAAAGTTTCTTTGCAGGGATTTTTAAAAGCTTTTGTCAATTTAGAGAGGATGAATTAGTTAAAGTGAGGTATTATAATCAGTAGAAACACTTACCAGACAGTGGTAAACTGCAGTATTTAACCATGTGCTGTAAACAAATACGTTAGGATACCACTCTCAATCCCCTATCACTATGGAGCTTCCAGTCTTACCTCAGGATGAGGGCTACATATATCTGGATATCAGAGGTGACCCATCCAAGAGGAAGAAGAGTGAGGTATTCATACACAAACTCCTCTAGGCATTGTTTAAAGGCTGCTTCTGGGTTCCAGGGAGGGTGTTAATTCTTCACCACTTTTGGCTTGTTATGCAGTGGGGCAGGTCAATAACTCATACAGTTGGAATCTCAGCTAGCTTGTCCTAAAATGGTAAAGATAGTGGGAATATGGGCAGAGTGACAGCAGTGTATGCTACAATCCTACTAACAGACTGAAGGAACTGGATGAGAGAGAGGTTGAAGATGTATAGGAACCAAGAGATAAGTGAAGGAATAAGATAAAAGGTGGCAGAGTGAAAATTATAGGTGAAAGAATTGTCTGAGAACAGGATGACACTTCACCTTCTAAGTCTGGAAGGAAGATGGGAAAGATGGCTGCAAATGTAGACAGGTTTATGGGTTTGATCACAGGAAGATGTGGGATTAACATTTGCTGTCTTTGCTTTCTTGGAAACCACTGAGAGAAGGTCATCTCTAGAAAGTGAGGGAGTAAGTTAGGAAAGCAAGGAGGTTTGTAAGAGCCAGTAAGGGAGATGGGGGACAAGTTGAAGAAATATGAGACAAAAACCCAAAAGTTTGTGGTGGCACTGATTCTATGGGCTGGGGGTCATCTCCAACAGTACTCAGTAGATGTGGGTCAGGGGTGGAAAATGCCAATTGTAGGATTCATTCATTTATTGAATAAATGATTTATTGAGTGTCTAATATGTGTCAGGCACTAAGCACTGGAGAAAAAACAGTTAGACAAATTACAAATAGACAAGATTCTGTGATTTTTGTAGAGCTTATATTCTAGAGAGGAAATACAGAAGATAAATAAGATCGGCGAATAAAATTTTAATATATTAGTGAAAAGCACAGTCAATGGAGATAGGGAATGCTGAGTCTGGAGAGGGGATGCCATTTTAGATAACGAATGTTGGCAAGGCCTCTCTGAGAAGGTGTCACTTGAAAAAAGACTTGAAAGAGGTGAGAGATAGAGCCATGTTGATATCGGGGGGAAGCAAGTCTTAGGCAGAGGGAAGAGCAAGTGCAAAGGTCCTGAGACAGGAGTGTGCCTGGCATGTTTGAGGAATGCAAGAAGGCTAGTGTGATGACTGAACCAATGTGAGCGAGGGGTAAAGCAGTATAAATTGAGGTCAGAGAGATAAAAAGGTTGGAGATCCACCTTGAATAGGGTCTGGTAGCCCATGACTTTTAGGTTGATTCAGTGCTCGAAGTTTTGAGGGAAGCTGAGGTGTGAGGACAAGAGAGGGAAAGGATTGAGAATGTTGGTGAAAACCTATTTGAAATGACAATTGAGAAGGGAAGGAAATGAGTCCAGGAGAAAGTAGATAAATTGGGAGCCTTATGAAGAATAGGAAGAGAATCAGGAGAGAATGAAAGCAGAGAAGTTAAAGGAGGAAAGAGTTTCTAGGTGGAGAATATATTTAATTAATTATAACTAACATTTATTTAGCATGTGTGATGCACTAAGTCCATTGTGCATTATTTTATATAAATTTCTCACCCACCTGATGTGGTAATAAATATTATTATCCAAATTTGCAGATGAAGAAACTGAGGCATAGAGAGAGTAAGCCACCTTCCCAAGGATGTGCTGCTAGACAGTGGTGAAACTAGGATTTGAACTCCGTTAGTCTAACTCTTAGACCCCCATCCTTAACCAGTTTGTTATCTAGTGCTAAATGCTGCAGAAGACTCCCATATGATAAAGATGCACCCACAAATCTATGGGAATTGGATGTTAGGAGGTCGTCGGTGAAAGTAGGTGAGAATGTAGATGGCACTTTGCAGTAGTTAGTGACACAGTGGATGGCATGGAAGTGGAGGCTGCAGTTTTTGGGTTGGAGAGACAGGGGGATTACGAAGGGGGACACCAAGATGAGATAAAATTAAAACAAAAAAGATAAAGAGACTTGCATTCATTTACAGCCTGAGAGGAAGATGCCAGAAGAAAGTGAAATAATGAAGATAAAAGTGTGAGTTGAATAATTTCTGGAGCAAAGTCAGGGAACGAGTTTGAAGGGTTGGCTTTATGAATTAGCCTTGGAGAGGAAGATCTTCATTTTATAGGAAAATAACTGAGAACCCGAGAAGCAAATTGTGAACCCAAGGTCATAAAGCCGATTCAGCAATAGATCGGGGACCAGAGTCCAGGTTTTCTGATCATCAAGACAAGTCCTTTCCACTAGGCCACCCAACCACTCTTGCTGAATCATCGTCTGCTGGTTACTTATCCCCAATCCAAAGGGAGTTATTGTAGTTAATGAATAAATGCAGCAGAGCAAACCCCACTGTAAATGCTCTGCTCTACAGAAACACCAAAGACATCGTGACCTTTGAGTTTTCTTCACAACTCCCTCCCCCTGCAGGTCTTTAGCACAGAGTACTGACTTTTCTTGACTAGAAACTGCCTTCCAGAAACTGCAGGTTCCTACGTTGATGCCAAGTAGGGACTTGGGTAGAGAGAACTAAGGTCCCCCTCGGGGAATTTCTAGCTGAAGTAGGCACCACTAAGCCTTGAAATCAAATTGCTTCTGGTAGATAAATGGGCTACAGATGGCAAATCAAGCCAGTGTGTGACTGGGCGTGATTGAGAGCAACTGTTACTGATCTGACCCATCCTGGCAGGCAACCTCACGAGAGCCTGGATTTTAGTTGCCATGCAAGTGGGTGAAATAAATAATTGTGTTTTTGACTTTTGAATTTTCTACACCTTGCCCGTTGTTACTGCAGCCATAATTTGGGGCATGTGTATTCCAGAGAGGTTTTGATTTAAGAATCTAGATGTTTTTGGAGGCAAGCAATATTCAATATATCACGTATGCATAAGATTTTATGTGTTTATTTTTGTGGCAATGAGCACTTTTACGTGATATTAAATATTATCAATTTTTAACTTTGGAGGAATGACAGTGGTCTATTTCTAACACTTGCATTATCTTGGGCAAACGCTGAAATTCTTGATTAATGTTTAACTACAAGAAGTATACTCAGTTCAAGCAAAGGATCAGTTTCAGGATTCAGGCTGTTATCTTGATGATTAGAATTCTGGCTCCAAGGAGAAGCCCCCAGGCCGAGAGTATTGGATATAACAGAAAGTGGGAGCCATACCGGCCTCTAGAGAATGTGGACTGGATATAAGATCTTAATCTTCTCTTATCTGACCACAGAAATTTGGATGGAGAAACAGTATTTATCTCAAAGACAAGTGGACCCAAGAGCTGATTTCACTAGGAATCAAACCGTTTTGGAAGGTACTCGATTCAAAAGAGCCATTTCCAAAGGACAATACTGTAGAAGTTTTGGTTGTTGTGAAGACAGAGATGATGGCTGTGCCGCTCACTTCTTTGAGGCCGATGCATTGTGTTACTGTGACAAATTCTGTGAAAGGGAAAATTCTGATTGCTGTCCTGATTACAAGTCATTTTGCCGTGAAGAGAAAGAATGGCCTCCTCATACAAAGTCTTGGTATCCAGAAGGTAGGCTTGGGAATGTGTTTACATTATCCTAGTTCATAACAAAAACTGACATTTTCTCTGTTTTTCTTTCTTTCCTTCCTTCCTTCCTTCCTTCCTTCCTTCCTTCCTTCCTTGCTTCCTTCCTTCCAATATTGCAATCACTAGAATAAATTCCTTTGGATTGTTAAAGTGCTTTGGTTTAGATGCAGGGTAACTGCATCATACTAGCACCTTCAGGAAAGTTCTGGTGTGATGGCCATGAATGCTTATCTGGATCTTGTTTTGAACAGTCACTCAATTTACATGAGAATTACTTAAAACTCTTTGGTTCTTTGTAAAATGTATTGACAGCAAGACTCTCAAGTTTTTGAATGTAATCACTTAGAAAATCTCATCAAAGTCACAGGCCTGATCATCTGCAGAGTCATGTAACATTTTACTTATTATTTCACAGGACTAATGGACTTCTTAGCATCAGAACTTGTGGCATAGCAATGCCACTGAAACCACTGCAAAAGCAAAATAAAGTCAGCCACTCACCCTGCCTAAGCAACATCAAATAGATTCTTCATGTGTATTTTCATTTTGTTTTGTTTTGCCAATCTGAGATTTTTTTAAACTATTAAAAACAAAGGAGGGCTTCATATAGAATAATTGTAGAAGTCTAAGATTGAGTGAAAAAATTCAAATAATTTATAAGGAGAATGGTGGCATTTACTGTATTGGTCCAATTATAGGAGAACAGCTATAGATTCTGAGTAACTGATATATCCAAGATTGGCAAAAAAACATAAACAAAACTCTACTGCTACAGTTACGTGAGGCTCTATTTCTCCGTTGCCCATTATGTCAAATCTCAGCAGAAATGCAGGTTTAATAGACCTCTGTCACATTCTCTGCATGGGTGATAGTGACTAGAAATTATAGTTAGAAGATAATTTAGAATAAACTAGCATTTGGTATCTTATTTCAAAATCTAGACCTCATTTCAAAATCCAGAAGTTATTGCTTTCCTTCTCAATAATGTCGTTTTGTTTGAAAATTGAGGAAACACTTCTTAAAACACGTGTATTATGTTAAAATTTTCACAGAATTGTCATTTATCCCAGGCCTTTGCCTTTACCAATAAATAGCTCAGTAAACATTTATTTCATCCTAAAGAATGGCAGATACTCTACTAGAAGATCCAGTCATTCGTCAATAATTATTCATTGACTATCTCTACTGTGCCATGCATTCTGCTTAGTGCTGGGGAAACAATGAGGAAGAAAAAAGACAAGATTTTACAGTATTGTCATTGAAGTGACAGTCATGTCGGGAGGCGGTATAAGATATTTAACAAATTCGCTGTGCAATTTCAAATTGTGATAAATTCTCTGAAGGTAACATTTAGAGTGCTGTGACTGAGTATGTCAGAATATAACATTAACAGGTAAGATAACATATACCATTAGCCTGGGTGGAGGGGTCAGTGAGGGAAGACCTTTAAGCCAAGACAGCAGGAGGGATGAGGAGAAGCAAACCGACCTGAAGAAGAGTTGACAGGAAGGTGTTGCAGATCTGAGGGGGAAGAGCTTGGCATGGTCCAGGAACTGGAAGGAGGCTATCATATCAGGAGACTAACGATCAGTGGAGGGTTGGGGGTGACATGAGATGAGGTTTGAGAGGTGAGTAGAGGTCAGATTATGCCAGGATTTATAGGCCATATTAAGAGTTTGAGATTTTGTTCTGTTATGAAAACTCATCAAAAGATCTTAAGTAGGAATGGGTTTGGCTTCATGGGTGTTGAGTCTCGTCATTACATATAAGCTGCAGCGCTCCTGATGTGCTAAAAAGTGTTCGAGTCGGTTCTTATTTGAAACATGTAGCCCATTTAGAAACGTAATTGTTACCTCTTCACTGTCCATTTTTGCCTGAGAGCTAGAATTTTACTAAGACTTTAGTTTAGGGTCATGTTTTAGGTAGAACTTATGTTGCAGGTATAGTTTTTATTCCAGTCATTATGGAAGGAAGCAATTATTCACTTTATTGGGTAGCAAAAGTTCACGTTAGACTATAATTGCTCTCATGAAGGTAATTTTTTTCTTTTGTCTTGCTTATGAAAGTGGCTAGTTGAAAGAAAATAGTACTACACAATATTGGAAAGTGAATTCAAATAATAAGACAATGGTATGTTATTTATACTAACTTTTTTGCACATGTAAAGTGACTTTCCTCTGAGATGCTAAGTTGGTCATTCACTAATCTAGTAAATATTATTTTTTTTATTTTTTTGAGGAAGATTAGCCCTAAGCTAATATCTGTTGCCAATCCTCCTCTTTTTGCTGAGGAAGCTAGGCCCTGGGCTGACATCTGTGCCCATCTTCCTTTACTTTATATGGGATGCAGCCTCAGCATGGCCTGATAAGCAGTGAGTAGGCCTGCACCCGGGATCCGAATGTGCGAACCCTGGGCCACTAAAGCAGGATGTGCAAACTTAATGGCTACACCACCGGGCCAGCCCTGAATATTATTGTTCAGTTATCTAGTTACATGGTATTGTCTACTTCTTTATACTGCAACTGTCCCAAGAGCTCTTTTTAAACCCGTGACTTAAAACTATGTACATTATCTTACGGATTAAAAAAAATAAATATGTCCCTTTTGTATAAACTGGAAGTTGGACATACGGTAAATATCTTCCTTCTGTGTTTTTCCCCCATCTCTGGTGGTAACTTCTAGTAATTGGAGGATTTTGAATGTCAGATACAGAAAACAAGTGATAGAATTTGAAATAGAACCAGAGTGGATATTCCAGACGGAATCTTTTGGTGTAAGCACATCTTAAGGAAAGAGTCTAGTATACCATCTGTTGTGAACAGCCCTAAGCTAATTTGATTACACACAACTCTTATGTTCACATTGGTAAAAAATGTATGTAAGCCACTGACACATTTGAGTTGGACGAGGGTGAGCCACTCCTTTAAAACCTCCTTAACCACATTATAATAAAGATAAATCACAGTCCAAATTCTTCCATGTATACTAATAGTTACAAAAGTATATACATTGGTAAGAAGACATAAACCAATTCGTACAACCTCTGTAAGCTTCACAAAGTCTCAAATTCCTGTCCTTTTAGGTGTTTCCACATCCACCTTGAATGAAAAACTTATTGGAGGCACTTGTGATAATATTAAGGAGGTCCAACTCTTACAGTGAGTGTCAGGGAATGAGAAACCCTCCTACCCCATGGCTGGACACAGGGCCTTTGAGAGATCAATCCTAGGGCAGCGAGTCTAAGAGTAAAGGCTTTTTACCTTAAGAGATAGATACAAACTGTGGGGTATAAGAGTGGGACGTGACTTTAAAATATTTTAGCTACTCGACATAAATTGAATACTATTCACTTAGCCAATAAGAGCTAACTACTTATATCCATTATGCTGATTAGCAAACCACTAATTTTACCAAAGCAAGCCCATTGCTGACATTCATTATACTGATACTTGAGTGTTCATCGAAAGGTGGATAACGGAAGCACTCAGAGCAGCGGCCCTGGAGCCTGGTCTTTCAGGAGGAACGCTCCTGACCACCCTGGGATGTGGATTCCTGATTAGAGCAAAGAACTGCCTTCCTTGAAGTGAAGTTTAGACCAGCACAGACATTATGACACATGATGATGAAGGACTTGAACATAAATGACAGCCACCATGTCATCTTTTCTCAAATCAACAGGCCAACTATTTCACTCTCCAAATATCTGACTTGCCTACTTTTGTATTAATGGCTGTCAGAGCTGCAAAACTCCCTTAATTTCAGCAGTTGTTATAACTTTTTTTCAAGATGCTGTATGTGTACCAATTTGACTAACTCACTCTGAGGTGCTTCATGCACATTTCCTTAAGAAAATACAGCCACCAGGAATGCTCCCATCTCTCTACCACCATAATTTTCAACCTACCTCCATGTGGGTTACTGTTTACATTGAGTCGATCCCTCCTCTTGAGCTCTGAATCCCATCCTCTCTCATCTTTTCAAGATCTTCACTTTCACAATTCTCTCTCTCTCTCTCTCTCCTTCTTCTGCCCCTTTTCTCTCTCTCCTTCCCCCACCCTCTCCTAAAGCACCATTTTTTCCCCTTCTTTCCTGGATTAACTATCAATTTACAAAATGTGTTTTTGTAGCTCCCATTTTTGAAAAGTCCTCCCTTGATTCTTTGCCCTCAACCAGCTGCTTTTCCTTCTTTCCTTAAATGGCAAAATATCTGAAGGAAGCCTTTTGCTTCCTGACTTCCGGGTCTCTCATCGACCCATCCCTACAGGCTGTCCTTCCCTCTGCTGCTTCACCGAAACCTCTCCTGGCAGGGTTGTTCACATCCACTTTACCAAAGGCAATTTTCAGATGTCTGTTCTCCTTTTCTTGACCTCTCTCAGCAGTGCTCTACACAGTTGATTACTTTGCTTGTTTGAAATACTTTCTTCTTTTGCTTTCCACGACTCCACCATCTCCCGAATTCCCTACTTCCTCACAGGCCATTTCTTCCCAGTTTCCTCTTCTGAATGTCTGTTGGCTGGAGCGTGTTGAGTTCAGTCCGAGATGGCCTTCTCTTACCTATATAAACTCTCCCAGATGGACCCTTATTTAGTCGCAAGGCTTTAAAAAATATGTACGTTGCTGTCTCTCAAATTCATGCTCCAGCCTTGACTTAACTCTGGCCTTCCACCAACCACTCTACTTGACATTCTTCATTAGGATGTCAAACCTAGATTTAACGTAAATCTAAAATATGCAAAGCAGAACTCTTGATTTCTTGCTATAAGCCTGCTCCTTATTTCAGTAATAGCTTCACTGCCCCTCTGTTGCTCAAGCCAAAATCCTAGTGAGACATCCTTGATTTCTCTTTTTCCTCATTCCCCAAACTCAATCCATGAGCAAGTCCCATTTGCTTTACCTCCGAATTATGTCCATCTGCTTCTCTCTTTCCTCACTACTATCATGTTAATCCTTCCTTCCTCTGGGAACCACACCCCAAGCCAGCACAACAGGAGTGATGAGGACAGAGATTAGGGCAGAGATATTTTGGCTAAAGCCTTATAGGTCACTGTAAGAAGTTTGGTTTTATTCTAAATTTGATGGGGAATAACTTGAGGATTTTAAGAAGGGAGTGACACTACTTAGATTTTAAGAGATCTGTCTAAACGCTGTGTAGGGAATGAGGAATACACTGGGGTTGGGAAGGAGTATAGGAAAGGAGTGGACTGTGTCTCTGTACCATGTAGAAGCTGGGGCTCCACTTTATCAGCACTTTGACCAGGCCCAGATTAACTGATTACAGTTTTTATTCAGGAGGCCTGCTCTCAAGTGAGATTACAGCATAGTTTCTCATAGTCAACTCTGACTTGATATTAAGAAAGGAGGACCAAGAAATGGAACTTTTGCTAACACTAGACTTAGTACTAATGATTTGGTGTAGGCCTGGTGATGGTATGCTCTTGACTTCAAAATTACTAGCTGGAGTACAGGTCAGAGAAAGGACAGTCTTTTTTCCTTAGGACTTTTGTAATTTCCTTTCCCTTGATCTATGTAACTGGTATGTGGGACAAGCCAGATTCATGGGGTATGATTAAAAATCAGCTTTGATTTTGCCCCCTACTCTCCTTTTAAAACCAAACAGGGAAGTACTTCCCTTGACTCTGAATGAAAACTTGAAGTGTTACGTGAATTTTCTGTTGCTCCTAGGTAATAAAAATTTTAAGGGTCTCTTTAAGTTACAAATGTAGTGTAAATTCATTTATTAAAAGTGTCTAATCTTGGGTAGTAATTAAAACTCTGAACTTGATTTAAAGTTAAATCTTTGCCCTCCCCTGAGTTTTCTACATCAAGAAGCCCGTGATCCAGGCGAGAGGAGTTCTCTCTTCCCATTATTGTGGAACATCAAAAACTCATGGGAAAGAGGTGAATAGAAGCAAATACATAGAGATTTTAGATTCATTAAGCAAAATGTTGAACTGTGAACACATAGCACGTGCTAAAGTGGGAAAGTTGTGCAATGTTTCCTATGAGACAATTTTTTGAAAAATCAGAGGATAGTTAATTCCATGAGTAGCTTTTGTGACCTTGTGTCTAATAGTTAAATCAGATCCCTTGGAATGCTTTCTAAATGTGTAGATTTTCCCCTATGTTTATGTGAATAAAAAGTTAGAATTCATCTTGTTTAATTAGAGGCCATTGATATGATCTATCAATTACATGTTTCTGTCAACAAAGTTTTCACGTGACAAAGTAGTGAATTTTGCTACTTTTGCTAATTCAGCATGAATTTTAAATTTCTGTAAATTATAGTTTCGAAAGAGATTTAATTTGTAACCAGGTTGCTATTTTCACAATATCTTACTTATGGTTTTCATACGATGATAGTTGATCTTTCCAGGAGTTTATAGGATCTGGTAAACTAGTTAACAATTAGTTTCAGTTAAAAGTTGAGAAACATTTGAATTTAGAACACAAATGGCCACAATCTTATTGGTTTCATGAATTCTTCTCCTGATCCAAATCCTGAAGAAAAAATAGAATTAATCTTTGTAAGGTAAATTCATAAAATAGGTTCACATTTTGGTCCAAAACTTTGAGCTCCTTACTCTAGTCATATGCAATTAATCATATTCACTTATGAGACGTGATTAGATTTTTTAAAATGAGAAATGCAATAAATTTATTCAAATACTGTTTTATTGTTTACCTACTTAAACACATTTTGAGTGTGGTTAGTGATTAATTCCTTGGTGTCTAGTTTCCACGCTTTGCAAATCCACTCTGTTGGAACATAATATGCAATTTAAAGATAAAAGCTTATGGAACAAGCCCAGAAGGTTCGATATATAAACGTTGACACAACCCAGATGTGGATTTCCATCAGATCAGCACCAAATATTTTTGCATATTTGAAAAACTAAACACAATTTTAGGTTAATTGTTATGTTAATGCACTTTATTACTCAATTTAGAATTTTCATTTGTTGATGTGTTATGTTGACAGGTTGCTTCAGAGATGGTCGACATTATGAACAAGGATCAGTAATTAAAGAAAACTGCAACTCTTGGTAATAAATTTAAGTGACACAGAACTGAATTCTACTGTCTGTGTATGTTTTCGTCAAATGAACAGAATATTTCTGAAACAAAGCATATATTTAAATACAGATAGAATTGGAAGTCATAAGATATCACATATCTGTAGCTTCTTATAATCATATTTAATTTTAATGAATATTGAAAAACCTAATCATGAATATATCTTTTAATGTTTCAGTTTGATGTTCATGACAGTGGGCATTCATCATATAGCAGGCCTGCCTAAAACACACCTCTTAATTATAAACATTCTGATATACTACAGGCAAGTCGTGTCTCTTTGAACACAGTAGCTGCATATAAAAACAGGCTATCTTAAAAGGGTTGTACTACAGAAAGTTTCTGAATACAAATGCATTGAATCTACTATCTAAATTGTCCGTTGTTTTCAAACTTCAATGAAAGTGAGGTCATTTCATTTATTAATTGCCTGGAGTAGAAGATAAAAGCATTTAAGTGGTAGCTAATGTACATGCTATGATTTATTTTTGCTAAGAATCAAGTAGTCATATGGCTAACATTAATCAAAAATATGTTTTATGCCTTAATGATCTGCAACTCTGGTTACTAATCTTATAAGTGTACTCCATAAAGGCCAGGCCACTTTTGTAATTTTTCTATCTTTGCAGCACATGCTCAGGACAGCAATGGAAGTGTTCCCAGCATGTATGCCTTGTTCAACCAGAATTAATTGAACTTGTCAATAAAGGAGACTATGGGTGAGAGAAATTTTGCTTTATAGGCTTTTTGGTACTCTCAGTTACTCCTCAAGTTTCAAACAATGTATTTCCTATTATTTACTTCTAAAAATTGCCATTATTTCAAAAGAAAGAATGGGAGAGAAATGAAAAAGGAGGGAGAAAGGCATGTAAAATTGGAATGCACAGAGGTGAACATTAAATAATTAAAAATTAACATGCACAAAGAAGAAATATAGAGCATGGTCTTGAATTGTCTAGGAGGAGCAGTGTCATGGTGTGAGTAAGGGATAGTTTGGATAAGTATTCAGGCAAAATCAGGAAGTAGGCAAAATTGATTTATTCACGTTAACCATCTTTCTCTCTGCTGCTCTCCTGACCCAGCCAATCACATGCTCGGCTATCCTGGGTAGAATCTTAAGAGAAGAGTATTTTATCTTGACTATCCCCCAAGTAACCAGTCTATCTAGACAATTTCACTGACATGACTGATATCTAGACAATTTCACTGACATGACTGATATCTAGCCAATTTCACTTACAATTGAGTCAAAAGACAGGTTGAGCCCCTTCCTTTGTTAATAAACTAAATATAGGGCTGATGGACCCTTAAACATAGGAAATAACTATTTGATGCTCTCCAACAGATTAATAAATTACGTGGTTTGTCCACTTACATAGAAGGAATTAAGGTGGAGGTGCTAGGGGCTGGCACGGTGGTGCGGCGGTTAAGTGCGCACGTTCTACTTCGATGGCCTGGGGTTCGCAGGTTCGGATCCCAGGCGCACACAGACGCACCGCTTGTCAAGCCATGCTGTGGCTGTATCCCGTATAAAGTAGAGGAAGATGGGCACGGATGTTTGCTCAGGGCCAGTCTTCCTCAGAAAAAAGAGGAGGATTGGCATCAGATGTTAGATCAGGGCTGATCTTCCTCACAAAAAAAAAAAAAAAGATGGAGGTGCTAACACTGGCTGTCTTTACTGAACCAAAAGGAAGAGGGATAGGGTGGCTGCTATCTGCCTCAGGAATTTTCCACTGCCATTGATCAAATCTCTATACACACTGGATAGCATTTTCCACATTCTGGAAAAGATTTCACATAAGAAGGTCTATTGTCAAGCAACTATAAAAGTGAAATAATCCTGAAACATATTTTTAAAAATTAGAAATATCATTTCCTTCCACACATAAGACGTATGTTTCCCAAGCACAATGGGGACACTGAATTTCAATGTACTCAAAGTATTTTCTTGGAAGATATGCAATACAGAAAGTCACATTTGTTGACATTAATATTCTTAAACCATTCTCAATTCCTCTTTGTGTGTGTGTATGTCTGAAACCAATATTTTTGGTGATAATGCAATGACATTTTAAATATTTCTAGGAAAAATCAATTATAATTTTCTGCATTTAAGTGATATTTAAATCATTAAAAGAACATAAGAGGGGCCGGCCCCATGGTGTGGTGGTTAAGTTCATTGCATTCTGCTTTGGCAGCCTGGGGTTCAGATCCCAGGCATGGACCTATACCACTCATCAGCCACACTGTGGTGGCAACCCACATATAAACAAAAGTAGAGAAAGATTGGCACAGATGTTAGTTCAGAGCTAATCGTCCTCAAGCAAAAAATGAGGAGGATTGGGAACAGATGTTAGCTCAGTGCCAATATTCCTCAGCAGGAAAAAAAAAAAGAACATAAGAGTATGTGTCATCATGAGAAATTATCTGAATCAGTTTCCTAGAAGTATTCAAATGCTTGGCCTACCAAGAACATACTTCCAGGAAGTCATAATAAGCAGCCTCCCTTTCCACTGTCACAGAATCCATGAGAAACCTCAGTCTAAAGCAATGTGGAGGGAAAGTGCATGTCGGTGTCCAGGAGCTGGCGAGAATGCTGCCTTCCTCGGAAGGAAGGATTTCCTTTCCCTCCTTTGTTTATTGCGAGAGTCCTTCAGGATTATTTAAGAGGCATGAGCTTTCCCTTTTAGTAGCAAACACAGATGACTTTAAAAGAATAAAAAGTAAAGTATAATTGAAGCAAAAGGAGACATACACAGACCAAATAAAAAAAAGTTAAGTAAAAGAGACAAGCTATGAAGAAAAGGAGTAAAATTAAAATTATTTACCAGGGGGGAAATGTCCTTGAATTTAAAAGACAGTTCTAATTCTCAGATGTTTTCTGTTCTTGATGTTCAAATTGTTTTCATATGTGAAAGCAGAATTATATTGCATCATTCAATATTTATTAAGTGCTTTTTAAAATAGCCTAAATACAAATATGTACAATCTTTGCTTTAAAGCATTTATTTCTCACAATTCGCTAGTGTTTTAGATACAGGTCTTTATTCATTTTACATAACCTACTTCAGTAGGTTCGCTACTGAATAATTCCCTGTATTATTTTTAATGTAATCAGCTAGTATTAACAAAACACGCATTTCCCTTGTGGCACTGCTGAGGATACAAATAAATAATTTCTGTCTTAAAGAAATTTACAGTCTCGCTAAAGAGTTGACATGTCATAACTTTGTAAAAGGATTTCTAATGACAGGGCAGTATATAAGGGCCAAATTAGTAGCACAAGTAATAATCAGTAAGTTAATAGAACAGAGGGAGATAGAGAACCATTTCAGTAATCTGATGCTGTGCAACAAACCACTCCAGAATTTAGCGGCTTAAAACCACAAGCTTCTCATTTGTTCATGTCAGCAATTTGGGATGGGCATAGCTGAGGCTCTCTTGCTGGTCTCTCCTGGGGTTACTCATGTGTCTACACACGTCTAGGCCTCAACTGGGGCTGAATTGTCTAAGATGGCCTCACTCCCGTGTCTGGTGGTTGGTGCTAGTTGTTGGTGGGCCCACAAGTCTCCAGCAGGCCAGCCTTAGCTTCTGTACATAATGACAGTGCTCTAACAGGAGTGGAAGCTACAAAGGGCCTCTCTTGAGGCCTAAGCTTGCAAGTTGCACAGCATCAATTCTACTGCTTTCTGTTGGGCGAATCAAGTCACTAGGGCAGCGCACATACAAAGGTGGGGGAAATAGACTCCACTTCTTGATGGAAAGAGCCACAGTAATTTGTGGTTGTTTTAACCTATCGCATCTCTAAACTTGATTTTTCTTGTGAATTCAAAATCTAGTCTGTTGGATAATTTGGCCTTGATTTTTCTCTGGTTTCTCAAAATCAACATACCCCGAAGGAAAGGATTCACCTCTTTGACCTATCCTTGGTTACCGGTGTCCCCTCCACCTTGTCCACCAAGCTAGAAAACCGGAAGTGAGTTAGATTCTGCTTTCCTCTTCACTCACAGTCACTAGGCTCTTATAATTCTCTCATTCAAAGTTTCTTTTAGATGTTTACTTCCTCTATTCCTATGCTATATTCTAGCGCACTTTTTTTAATCAAGCCGAGTTTGAAATGACCTGACTTTTCTTTCTATTTGCAGCCTGACTAAACTCCAACGAATCCATTATACTTTCATAGTTATCCTTCTGAAACAAAGCTTTGATTCTGCCAATCACATTCTTAGAAATCCTCCCTGACACTCCAGTGCTTATAGAATAGAATTATACTCCTGGGCATAAATAATAATCTGACCCAAATTCTTCTCTGCTATTCCCTAAATGTGCAACCCAATTTCAAACCTGCATGTTTTGCTTCCAATTTGCCTTTATTTAGGGTAAATGCTCTCTGCTTTCACATGTGACCACTAAACTCATCTTCATCCTTCCAGACTGAGCACAGAATTCACTTTCTGTAAAAAATTGTACTAACTCCTTCAGACAGAGTTACGTGTGAATCCTCTACTCTGATCATATTTTGACCTACTGCTAATAAATGACACGTACTGAAGGCATTTCTATTTTTGCAGTCTGTTTAGGGTATGAGCTCCGTGAGGGCAGAGAAATTTATTTATTTCTATGTTCCCAGTGTTAACTAAAGAATATGATAGATAAATTAAGAATATTCGGTAAATGCTAAATTTGGATTAAAAGGAAAGTGATGACTCTAGGTCAAAGAGGATGGTGTAGGGTAGTTAATGTCTTTTACACTTTTTTGAGAGTAACTCACAATAAAACCTACATTTTGCTTCGTGACCTATTATGCATACATAACATGTACATACACTCTATCTATCATCTATCTATACACGTAGATACACAGATACATATATACAGTGCTTACTCTCACTATATGCGATAAACTCTAATATTATTTTCCTATATTCTATTTTATTTTTTAAAAATTCCGATCCTTGCACACTAAATTGAGTGATTAATTAAATGTCTCTGATCTAGTGTTTGAAAACTACTAGTGTAGAGTGCCAAAAGCATACTTTACTGATGTCATAATTTTGCCCAAGCCTGGTCTTATTACTCTCGTGAATAATATTGCAATATCTAATATAGTCAGAGATTTCCTTATTGAAATTCCTTGGGTGATGGAGATTGCACTTCAAAATTGTAGCTCACACTTGCTTAATGTTTCATTAACTAACAGATCTTATAAAAGAAAACATTAACTTGCTAGGCATATTATTGAAAATTGAGTTGCATCTTCAATCATTCATAAGAGCTTATCACATTCTAAACAATTTAGGTGATAAACATAACAAGATAAAGTTTAGATTTGACTTAAGTACTGAAAATATATTGCCTTCAAGTTGTAGATAATTCAAACAAGCAATAATTAAATTACTTTTGTCTTTCTCATTTTTTATCTGCTATCATCTCTTAAGGATTTTTGTTGTCTTCAAATTTCAATATTAGATTTTGAAAATAAAGCTTCTTTTCTATAAAAGGCACAAAATGTATCTCTAGAAAAAAATGCATTTTTTTTCTAATTTCACATCAATTGAATTTATATTATTGTTAATAATAAATAAGATTACTGGGCACTTACAAATTAATTTAATATATTATAGAATATTTCAATGAAATTAATTAGTATTGATATAATCTTTTAAAGTATAACTATTTTATCCTCTATTTTTCATGGACACTTCTTTTTATATGGTCAACCTCTTTTCAAACCTAAATTATAAATAAAACATAATACCCTATTTAATCAATAAGTACATTTCTGTACATTCAAGCTTCTTTCTAAAATGCATTTAATGACATTTAAAAGAAACTGCATATATTGGCCTTATTACCACTTAATCCTTTTACAGTTTGTAAAGATTCTATATTCTTAAATTTAATCTATATTGATATAGCCTTAGGTCCCTCATCTGAGTCATTAAAATAATTGAAAGAGACCTAATTTAGGAAAAGTGTCTCGTATGCTTCACTCTTAGAGTAACCAATAATGTGTCATTTATACAAAGAATATCTAGCTTGCAGTAATAGTTCCAAATTTGCGAGATTTGCTTTTGTATAATTTCAGAAATATAAATGAACGTGTATTTGCAAAGATGATATTACATAACCTGTACAGATTTTTCTCTTTCATTTGTAAGGCAGATGGACAGCCCAGAACTACAGCCAATTCTGGGCAATGACTTTAGAAGAAGGTTTCAGATATCGTCTTGGCACCTTGCCACCTAGCCCCATGCTTCTGAGGATGAATGAAGTGACAGTAAGTGTTCTCTCTGTTTGACTTGTGTGTGTTTGTGTGTGTGTTTGTATAGGTGCGTTCATATGTGCATTTAAAGCAATTTTAAATAACTTAAATAGTGAGCTTTGAGCTTTCAGAGTTACAATTTTGTCATATAAATAAAGACCTTTCCCCACATCGCTGTGACATCCCTCAAAAGTTTCCTGTGGACTTTGAAAGTTCACTTAATGTCATTAGATATAGCCTCCTACCTTCAAGATCAATTGTGCGTTCATTTACATTGCTAATGATTTCATAGAAATTCATGTTTCTGATTATTGGTTGTTCAGTGACCCAAAGCTTAAGAAAGTCGTTAGTTGTCCTTATTTTTCATTATTTAAGTAAACACAGTTATTTTGCAAATTTCATGAACTCTGTTTTAATGTCTCTTGATCTATCCATTATTGCATGAGGATAAAATAAATGCTAGTAACTGCAGACATATATGTTAAAATTGGTAAAGATTTGTCCTCGAAAATCCTCAAAATTTCCATTAAAAGAACATCTTTAGGGCCGGCCCCGTGGCTTAGCAGTTAAGTGCACCAGCTCCGCTACTGGCTGCCCAGGTTGGGATCCGGGGTGCGCACTGACGCACTGCTTCTCTGGCCATGCTGAGTGTCCCACATACAGCAACTAGAAGGATGTGCAACTATGACATACAACTATCTACTGGGGCTTTGGGGAAAAAAAAGAGGAGGATTGGCAATAGATGTTAGCTCAGAGCCGCTCTTCCTCAGCTAAAAAAAGAGGAGGATTAGTATGGATGTTAGCTCAGGGCTGATCTTCCTCACAAAAAAAAAAGAAGAACATCTTCAAATTTGCCTGATGACCTGGTAATCTCCTTCATGAAACTGTATCATTTCCTCACACTCTTATGCTTGGTGTGTACTATTGTACTGGTTTTCCCTTTCATTTTTAAGAGGTGTTGTCCTCTGAAAATAGGTAACTTGCATAAAGAGGCTTCTACCTCTCTGGTATCACAGACCTCTAACTCAGAGAGGGGCAGTTTTATCACCCGACATATGGCGTCTCTCAGAAAAGCCATTTCCAGTTGAGACGTTGATTGTATTCAAGGCCTGTTACAAATGCCCAGGGCAGAGCGAGGCTCTCAGGCTGCTGGAGCCTCTTCACTCTGCAATGAAGATGTCAGGTTCCTGGCTGCCTGGAAGCGCTCAGCGTCTCTGAGCAAGCAGGGCTGTTGTTTGCTCTTGGATGAGTTATAAATCCACAGGTTTCTCATTAAATGTTTAATGTGCTTTGCTTTTGAGAGATGTAATCCCTTGAGTTATTATTCCAATTCAAATTCCAGTAGTAGGGCCTGCTAAATTATAACCAGTATCAGAAAAAATAATAATAGCTGCCACTTATTGAGTACTTGTGTGTTAAGCACTCTTATAAGCGCTTTCATACATTATCTCATCTAATTCCCACAGCAACTGGATGTAGTGGGTACTGAATTTTCCACATTTTGAAGACAAGAAAATTGAGACTGAGAGAAGTTAAGTCACAGGGAGATTGAGAGAGGTGAAAAGCCACCACCAAATTACTTAGATTGCCGAACCAGGATATCTTAAAAGATCTGCCTCAAAAAATACTCCCTAGAGTTCCAGTAGAATCGGTTAGCTTTGGCCAGTCCAGGTTCAAAATAGCAAAAGCTTTTTAATCTTTTAACCAGAGCTAATTTTCTGAAATGATCAGCTTAGATATATTTTTGGTTCTTTCCTACAATCGATAAGATATAAAATTTTTAGAGGTATGGCTCAGATTAATGGTTTTTAGTGACCTAACTGTATGATCAACTGTAAAAGATTTATTTTTTTTCTACATGTTTTCCTTTTCATTTTTGTCCTCATCTGTGAAAAAACAAGGCAGCATTGTTTAAGAATCAATTCACCCTTTTATAAGGCTTGCTTTTGCCATTGCTTTTATTGAGGACCCTCGTCAGCCAAATACACATTTGGGTGTCTGTATACATTTCCTCCAGATTATTTGTAACATTTCCCTCTTAAGCTTTGATTTTTGCAACTTGGAATGTTTTATATTCTAGAAAAAATGAGGTAAATTTCTTTCCCAAGTTGCCACTGACTGTATCATAGAAAAAGAAATTTAATATTAAATCATTTATTGGCTGCTAGAGATTTGTTTGCATAACAAACTTGTTTGCATAAATACCACTCTGGTGATATTTAAACGAAAAATCCTAATGATTAGTACTTTTGGAGAATTTAAATTACCCAAAATGCTATGAATTAATGTAATGCAGTTGCCAAGTAATTCCAGGAAGGCAATAAGAAAAATTCAGGTGACCTGTAAGAGTTCTATTACCCACTTATGACGTAAGGCAAGGAAATAGCTTCTTATTTCTGAAGCACCGTAGCTTAGGTATTGAGGGCCTTTCAAAAAAGTTTCTTAGTGTTGGAGTTGTCCTAATATCTGGTCAGACATAAGAAAATCAGAAATATAACAAGTACTTCTAGGAAGAACATGAAGTCAATATGAACTGAGTTAAACTGGTAGCTACAGGAAGATCCAAAAACCAAGTTAATTCATATCCTGGTGACTACATAGAAAATACCCCAATACATCAAAGTGCCTCTGAGTACAGTGAAAATAAGTTATTTTTTTGTGCGTATGCTTCTGGATAACTTTTTTCCAAACTTTTTTTATGTATCATTTTCAACGTAAAATGGTCTATATGCACAGTTAGGGTAGGTAATTGTCAACAGAGGTATGATTTTAGACATGCTGAGAAAATACACTGCATTCCCACCCCAAAGCATCTCCCTTTCCTCGTCTACATTACCTGGATGAGAGTTAGGGTTCAGGAAATTCTTTATCCTGAGTGGGAAAGATGAGCTGTGAGTCACGCCTGATTCCTGGGAAAGTTCTTCTCTTTCCTGTCTGGTTTCCTGGCTTTATTTCTTAGTTAAGTCACGATTCCCATAATGTGTCTGCTGCACATGAGTTAGAGGAAGATCGATAGATGTTGTACGAAGAGCTCTATGATCATATGAATTTGAAAAATCTGTGTAACCTGTGAAGTGGTTTAATTCAAATGAATTTCTGTAGAGTGTGATTAGTAATAATAAGGAAGAGAAATATGTTGATAGTGGGAGTTGGAAAAAACTAACTTGGGGACTTTGGGGATGCTCTTCCTGGATGACAATCCTAAGTGAGAGCAGGCAAAAGGAAACATAAACTTGTTGTTCTCTCTGGGTATAAGCAAAGTGGATGAGAGGAGTAAAAAAAATGGGAAAGAAAGAGGGCTGAGGGGGACCCTGCCTAGACCATGCAACTCCTTACAGTGTATAAAGACTCATTTCAACCCACTTTAGAATTATGTCTAGTGTCAAGTCAACAAATGGTGGCTGATTAATCCATGCTTGATACTTTCCTGAAGGTGTTATCTTGAGATGAATCGAAGTAATGTCTTGAGTGGACAACTCTGTTCCAAATTGTTCTACATTAAAAATGGTAAGAATGATTAGATGAATCAACTACTCTTTGCCAGTCCATTGAAACTTTGTGTGTTGCACGGATAGACTCACAATGGGACTGATTGGGAACTGGCCTTCAGAAGGACTATAGCTCCCCACAAGAATTTTAAATTCTGCTTTTTAAGCCCTTTATCTCCTTGGTACAAAACAAGATATGACACGTTTCAAACCTTATTTCAATATTTCTCAACATTTGCTCCATGGACTGCCAATTTTGCAAGATGCTCTGGAAATAAAGATGTCCCATCTGCGGTCAAATAAATTTGTGAAATGGTGCCTTATATTTTCCTTCTGAAGATTCACACTATTTATTAGTATTTTGAAGACATTGAGAACCCTTATTCCATTAATCTTTTTTTCACTCAGTGTTTCCTAAATTCATGAGATCAAAGAACCTTTTTATCGTTGTTTATAAGGACTATTGATATTCTACAGGACTTAGGTGCCAAAGAATACACTTTAGCAAGTGCTTTCTTAAGCTAAAATATTGAAATAAGAGGGCTAGAGGGAGAAGAGGTGTATTCAGGGATAAAACAGAACTTTCTCAGTGTCTCAGAAAGAAGACAATGGAGATAACCAGCCATTATGATTGTATGCAAAACTGGCATTGACTGAGCTCTTTCTGAGCCATCAGAAGCATCACAGTCGAAATCCGTTAAAAGACACGCGTAGGCCAGCGTGATCACACTTGAGGTACCATTGTGCACACCATGACGGACGTGAGCTCTGAAGCCAGTGTGCTTGGGTCTCAATCCGGCTCCTCCGCTGACTGATTCCGTTTCCTCCTCTGTGGAATGCTGATCACAGCGGTGCCCAGCTCATAAGCTTGTAAGAGTTCCATGAGACACTGAATGAGAAGAGCTCAGTGCAGCACTCTGACTACAGTAAAGTAGCAAGAAATGTTATTATGTGGTATATGAAGTTCTTTCCCCCTTGGATTGACCTTAGGAAAAGAGCAGGATTCTGAAAGTCAGTTCTGTGAGGACTAAATGATCCAAAGCTTCATCATTGGGAGCATTTTACTTCATAAACAAAGGTGTAGCTGTGGATTTATTGGCATTGATGGAGTTTACCTATTTCTGGTGAATGTGAAAGTTCCTCTACTATGCTCCTAAATCAAATCAAATCAAATCAAATCAAATCAGGTCAGCAACTCTGCACCTTATTGTCTTTCCAGGCATAATGATCATGTGCTTTTGAATTTGGGAGATAAGTCAAGAATCTTCACTGTGTTATCTCCTATTATAAATATTGCAACTATTTTGAATGAAAAATACTATTTTCAAACAGAAATGGGGAAATTAAGAGTTCATTTTCATACTTGGCTCAGTTAAAATTTGTTTTTTATAGTTTTATCGTTGATTCCCCAGGGAGTTAATCAAGTTACCAGAGCTATTACAGAGAAGTATCACGTCTAAGGTGGAGCTATTTGGAAACTATTAAAACATTAAGAAGCCTGGCATAACATTTAAATCCTTTAGATAC